ACGTTGTGGGAGGAGGGTGGGACTAGGCGGGGCCCTCTGACTCGCTCGACCCGGCGAACTTGAATCTTCTCTACTCCTACTCTGATTTGCTGTACTCTACCCTGTTCGGAACTACTCTGCTCTACAATATTCGGGTCTACTCGACTCATCTCCTCTTCTCTACTCTCTCATACTCTGTCCTACTCTACTCAACTATAGTATACCTCTGAGCTGCAGGATTGTTGGCCGATTACTGTCACGGTATTGAAATAGCCTCAGGAGGCCATTGACATACAAGAGGAAGACGTGCGGATGCAGAGGCAGCCGTGCGGACAGCTGAGGAAACCGTGCGGCGACCTCGACCGTGAAGGGTCAAACTAGAGCGGGGGGGACTGGCGGACCAGTTCTCTGCGCCATTGGGGCAGGCCCCCCCTGCAGGCAAGCCTGTTTGGAGAACTGTCGTGCCTGAGCCCCTCCATATTTCTCATACCGCACGAGCCCACACGTCCATCAACAAAACCAGCAGCGGCCTGGTCGCAGCTTGCGGCAGTGCCTCGGCGTGCTGAATCATTACGGTTCTGCTGAGATCATCTGGCCTTGCCACTGAAACGGGAAGAGGCCAGATGCAAACACAGGGAGGGAGATCACACGGAAGGAGATACTTTGTTATCTGCGGCCCCAAAGAAGGCTCCAGAGGGCGGGTCAATCGGGCTGACTGGGGCACAGAGCCAGATAATTTGCGAACCCAGCCGTCACTGTCGACGGCCGACCGCACATGCAGATGCGAGGAACAAAATGAACCTCATTTAGCCAAGCGGAAGGAGATACGCGGAAGGGGGCGAAAGGGGAGGAGGTGCAGGGGCAGAACGGGCAGGGACGGGCGAGGCCAGGCCCTGGGGGAGAGGAGGGGAGGGAGGCAGGAGCGGGGCGGACACGGGGATCCCAAGGCCTCCGAGGCCCGAGTCTAGAGAACCTTCGACGCGTTCGGCAGAGCAGATCCTAAACAGCGAAGTCATCGCACCGGGCTGTTCATCACAGTGCCCCAGGTGCCTGCTGGGTCGCCCACGATGTTCGTTCTTAGGCGAAGTGCGATGATTCCAACGCGCAAGGGTAATGGTTTCCGAGCCGCGCCGACGCTCACGCTCAATCTCATATGAGGAAGCCGACGGAATGAACGTCACAGCTTGAGAAGTCTTGGGCTTCACCGCTCGTCGGAGGAAGGCCTTTGGGGGGGGGGGCAACCCTGCCGCCCGGCCCAAACATCCGCCCCAAATGGGACCCCGGCCCCCTCTTGGGGTCCATCCTGGCACAGCATTCGAGGCGAATCCAGCGGCGGCGACGGGAAGGGCCCAGCTCCGCCCAAAAGGGGTCCCCAGGCCCCTCCCGGGGTCCATCCTGGCACGTGTCCCGAGGCGAACCCGGCCGCGGCGACGAGAAGCTTCCATTTGGCCCCCCAGCATCTTGGCGTCACTCGGACGTCCAATCCCCGCGCCTTCCTTGGCTGGTGTCGTGCTTTTTTGAAGGGGCCCCAGGACACACAAATAAATACACACAAATAAAATAATCCCCCATATTTTCCCATATTTTCTGGGTTTCTGTCTTCCCCTCCACCTCCCATATTTTCCCATATTTTCTGGGAATCGCCGATTAATTGTGTCTGTGTGTTTGTTCCCCTCGTGATTTTTGTCGCGAGGATGTGGGCCACGAGGGCGCCCGCCGAGAAAAGGTGCACACGCCCGAGAGCGCTGCCATGACAACAGAAGAACAGGCCACGGAGGGCCGCCGAGGTCTCGACTGTAGAGGAAGGAGAACTATGCACATACACCGATTCCGGCCAGGACCATCCTGAGCCCAGGACCGGTGCATACGCCCTCCTACCTTGGGCAGGAAGGTATATGCACCGATCCTGGGTCAAGGATGGGCCTTGTCAGGATCGGTGCATGTGCATAGTTCTCTTCGCCCGAGACTGGCCCCCCGCAGGGTCCATCCTGGCCCGTGGTTTGGGGCGAACCTGGCCGCGGCGACGGCAAGCCCCCACGAGGCCCCAGAGAAATCACAAGACCGCTCGCCGCTGGGGCCCCAGCCCAAGCGGCGAGCATAAGTCGGGCGTAGCCCCGCACGCAGTCGAATGCCCATACATCGTCCTCGTACTACTCGTAATCCTCCCCGTCCTCCTCCCCATCCAGATCGTCGTCATCGTCCTCCTCCTCGTCATCCTCCTCATCCTCCTCATCTTCCTCGCCTTCCTCCTGCTGCAGCTCGTTTTCCGATCGGTTGCGCCATACTTTGCGCCCTCGGCAGCTGAGAATAAAACCGTCTCGAATCAGTTGCGCCATAAGTTGCGCCCTCGGCGGCTGAGAATAAAATCGTCTCGAATCAGTTGCGCCATAAACGGCGCCCTCGGCGGCTGATAATAAAACAGTCTCCGATCGGTTGCGCCATAGGTTGCGCACTCGGCGGCCGAGAATAAAACTTTACTGAAACCGTGTCCGATCGGTTGCGACTTAAATTGCGCCCTCGGCGGCTAAGAATAAAACCGTCTCCTATAGGTTGCGCCATCGATTGCGCCCTCGGCGGCCGAGAACAAAATCGTCTCCGATCCGTTGCGCCCTAAATTGCGCCCTCGGCGGCCGAAAATCAAACCGTCTCCGATCGGTTGCGCCATATGTCGCGCCCCCTGCGGCCGAAAATAAAGCCGTCTCCTACAGGTTGCGCCATAGGTTGCGCCCTCGGCGGCCGAAACTAAAGCCGTCTCCAGCGGCTACGCCATAAGTTGCGCCATTGGCGGCCGAGAACAAAACCGTCGCGTAACGGGTGCGACCAATCTGTTCAGTTCAGTTCAATTCAGTTCAGTTCAGCTTACCTCGCGAGAAGCACATTCGGGCTACGCCCGACAACAAAAGCGCGCAAGGGAGGGCCGCCGCTGCTTGACGGGCCCTCCTCTGAGAGGCAACGATAGAGGGGGGCTGGCATAGGAGGGGACACGTCGACCTGGAATCGGCGACGCATCGCCCATAGATCGGCGACAGAGCCCCGATGGTGCCTCCGCGCGCTCCTGGGCAGCTTGGGGCCATCGGGCCCCCATCGGCGATCAGTGGGCGGTTGGGGGTCGATGCGTCCCCCCCTATGCCTATCCCCCCCCCATTCCCAGACCCCCGACGTCATGATTTTTTCATTACGTCGACCCTGAGTGATCTCGACCCCTTCCCCGGGGCCGGTTTCTCGTCCCGAGTCGTTTTTTGACGGCCCCGAGGGCCGGGAAGGGCCTCCCGAGGCCGAAAGTGGGGAACAAACCTCCCGTCATGATTTTTTCATTGCCCGAGGGGGTCTGCCCTGACCTTCCAGGAGGGCTAAAAAATAGCACCCGACGTAAAAACATATCCCAGAGCTATTTTACGTCTTGGTTTTAGGCTGTTTCGTCTCGTTTTTTAGGTTTTTAGGTTTCCAGTGCTAAAAAATAGCTCTCTGGAAGGTCAGGGTGGGTTTACCGTTGCCCCTGATCCTCCGAATCGCCCTGCCCGCCCTCCCGCCCGGCGGCTCTCGTGGCTGCCCGCATCGGCGCGCGGGCGCCCCGGGAGACACCCCCGGCCGGGCCCAGTGCGCGGTGCCGCCGCGGGCCCCCCCCCCCCTCCGGACGCCTGCGCGCCAGAGGGCGTCGCTGCGGGCGGGCGCGGGGCGCGCGGAAAGCCCGCGGAGCGGGCGGGACTCTCCTCGTCCTCCTCCTCCTCCTCCTCCTCCTCCTCCTCCTCCTCCTCCTCCTCCTCCTCCTCCTCCTGGGAGGAGGCGATCACGAACAGCGATGCGTGAAAACGGACGTGTTCTGAAGAGCGATATAAAGCGGGTAGGGTAATTAGATGGGGTCCGAGTGGAATTGGGTCGGAGGATCGCGCCGCGTCGCCAATGCACCGGCGATGCATCGGCGACGCATCGGCGATGCGTCGGCGACGCATTGGCGACGCTGGCGTGGAGAAAATCGGGCTCCGCATCGAGCCGCATCGTCGATGCATCGGAGATGCTGCGCGATCCTCCGACACCACCCACTCCGACCCCATCTACGAGGCCTGGAGTGTAGGCAGGGGGGGGAAGGAGAAGAAGGGCAGGAAGGGAGGGCGAGGAGCGAGAGGAGCCTGCGGGGAGGGGTGCAAAGGAGGGAGGAGTGCAGGACGAAGCCTTCCAACATCAGCTACACCTCCTCCTCCTCCTCCTCCTCCTCCTCCTCCTCCTCCTCCTCCTCCTCCTCCTCCTCCTCCTCCCCCTCCCCCTCCCCCTCCCCCTCCCCCTCCTCCTCCCTCTCCCCTCTCTCCCTCCTCCTCCCTCCTCCTCCTCCTCCTCCTCCTCCTCCTCCTCCTCCTCCTCCTTGACCTAGAGCCTTGGGGAAGGCATCAGCACAGTAGAACAAACAGCGGCAAGCAGGTGACGAAATGTCAGCGGACATTGCCAGTGATAGTCCTCGGGTGTCGTCTGCATCCGCCCGGATATCGCACCATGCGTCTACTGTGTCTGTTGTGCTGAGGAGTCTTGCTGGGGGGGGAGCGCTTGATTGACACACATTCGGGTTGTGGATCGCATCTGCACGACATCGTGCCAAACAGCGCGTACACGTATGAAGCGGGACTCCAGTCGCAAAACGGTGAACTGACCCCGAAACTGTGTGCCCAGTGCAGCTACCGTCCAGGGCGACATCACCTCAAACTAGATTGCCTGAGTCTTCGCGCCTAAGTTTGTCAGGGGCATGTGTCACGAAATGAACCCCGAGGGATCCGAGGACGTCTTCTTCTTCCTCCTCCTCCTCCTCCTCGTCCTCCTCCCCTTCGCTCAAGAATGGGTTCTGTACCCATGTGAGTATTAACAGAGGCTCGCCGCGCAGAGCTGGGTGATGTGGCAACCATTCGATGCCATGCGATGACTCCGCCTCCTGCCCTGGCCCGCTCCACCTCCGGCCTCTCCTCATCCCCCCTCCCACATTTATTTCGCCTCTCCCTGCTTCTCCTTCCATATCCTCTCCCTCTTCCCCCCCACACTTGCGCCTCGAGCGGTCTAAAAGCGAGGGCTGGGCTAAGGGCATGACTGCTCAACGGCCTGGCCTGGCGATGCTCCTGGGCCGCCCCCTCTGGGCCACCGAGCCGGAAAGAGGACGAGAAGGATTACCTCTTTTCTGCCACGAAGGACTCCTCGTCACCACACGCTGCATCACCCCCTGACGATCTCAATCCTCGATGGCACCGTGGCTGCTGACGTAGATGCCATCCAGGAACTTACGGATGTCCTTGTTCTTAACCAGGCAGGACTGGTGGATGAGAGCGGCCGAGCGCGAAGTCAAATCAATGTCCGCACCAGTGACGATGAGCTCATCCTTCGTTGCCGTGCTCTTCTCGATCTTCACGCCCGACAGCATGTTCACGGTGCGCACAATTTTCTCCCCAAGGAAGTTGCGGATCTCGACAGTGCCGCCGCCGTTTGTGATCGTGACGTTGATCGGGAAGTGCGCGTACACGAGGCGCAACTTGTACTGGAAACGCTGCTCCACACCAGTGAAGAGGTTCGCAATGTGGCTGCAGCAACTGTTGAGCATGGAAAGCTGCTTCGACTTGGCGAAATACATCCTGGCCCGGACCTCTTTGTTGCTGTTGGCCAACCGCAACTCGATGGGCAGATGCTTGAAACTGCGCTTCAGGGTACCGTGCTTGCCGGTGACCTCCACGACCTTGGACTTGATGGTAATCTTGATGCCCTTCGGGACCTTCACGACCTCCTCCTGCATCAGCGTCTTCATCGCGCCTCGCTGGTTGGGGAGAGGGGGGCGTGCGGGCCGGGGGTCTCTCACTAGGAGCTCCGACAACCTTGAGCCAAACTGGCTAAGTGCGAGGCTGAGTAAAGAAGGGCGAAAAGGAAGAGTATCACTAGAAGCAGGAGGCGGAAACGGAACATAACGGCAGCGCTACCCCTGCCGTGGCCGACCACACACTGTCACGATTGGGCAACCACAAGCTGTCTCCAATGATCGGAAACTGAAGACGGCCCAAACAATAATTACACAGAAGAGGAGCTGGTGCCCTGGAATGGCGCCTACAGACACTAGCTATTTGGACCCCTTCCCAAAACAGCACATCACGCTGTTACCACCTGCCAGCCCTTCTAAGACGACAACACAATCGATGAACCGATTGAACAGGCAGACTGCCAGGCCAAGTAGGAGGAGAGGGGTGGGAGGAGCAGGCATACGAAGGCGGACGCGCAGGCGAGAGGCCAGGGCTGACGGGACGAGGCAGAGGCAGAGGGGCGGGCAGGCGGGAAAGGACAGGTGGCCAGACGACGCACGGTCCCTCCTCCCTCCCAGCCCCCTTCCCGCCGCCTCCAAGTCACCCGCATCGTCCGAGCCAGCCCGCGAGCGAAGACGCTGCCGGGCCCGGGCGCACGTTTCTCTACCCCGCCGCCGTCCGCGAGCTTCGAGCAGCGTCCCCGGCGGTGGCCACAGCAACTTTGCCCGGCCGCGCGCCCGCAGCAGAAGCGCCCGCCGCCCCGGCTCCACAGCAGTGGGCCCCTTTGGCACCGAGGGGCTCAAGCGCCGGACAGTGCCCGCCCACGCGCCAGGAGTGACTGACCCACAGGCAAGAGAGAGACTTTTGGCGCGCAGCTTTGAAAGGCCGGGGAGACGGGGGGGATCCACCAGCGCAAGGCACTGTTGGGGGGGCCCCTGTGGGCCCGCGCCAGGAGTCACTCCGGCGAGGACTCACTCGTACGCATGTGTAGCCGGGAGGGGTGGGGTGGGGGGGTAGCCTCGTGCCTGTGCCGGACCTCCGCCAACGGAGCTGACCGACCATTAATCATCGAATACTTCCTGAGGGGCCTGCAGGATTGTTCTCTTCGGCGCCGCGACTCCCTTCCCAGGGAGCTCGCCCCTCCTGGGAAGTCGCCCTTTGACTGATCCGTCCCCTCCCCTCCTCCCTCACTCCACAGCTCCACCCCGTCCTTTTTTGTTGCCACGTATCATTCGTACGTTCGCTTGCTTACTCTCTCCATCCTTCCTGCCGAAGGTCGTCTTTCGCCTGGTCAAGTACAAGCGGCGGCCCCGGCTTCGTTATTGGAGACGTCCAGAAGTGCGGAAAATGCACTACGCCGCACGGGCAAGCCCAGTCTTCCAGACTGAAGCCTAGCGAATATCGACAGATGCGGCGCGACTAAAGAAAACGACTGGAATGCTAAAACGAATCGCATGTATCCACTGCTCCCCGGACCGAATGCAAAATGTTGTTGACCTGCGGCGGACAATCCGGAAATGTTCGTGCCAGTCGGCGGCAGCTACGGGCGACAAGGATGACTCATGCTGCGCTCACGACAACGAAAACAATGATGGCGACGATACAAACTGAAGGCGTACCGAAATTGAACAAACTGCGTTTCCCACCGTGCGACTGCAATGCCACATTTACAGCGACATAAAGGTCACCGCATGGCGCTGCCAACTGGGTCATTATGACGGCGGCGACCAACGCAAAGCAAGTTGCCCAATCCACATTGTGACTGTACACGACGCCCATGTGTGCGTATACGCGGAACACGGTTCGAACACATACCCGGCGACGTAACCAATTTGTTCTCGGCAAATAACAGAACACATGGGTATACACAGATACATACATACGTACGTACATACATACATGCATGCGTACAGGCCTGCACACATACACGCATGCACATAAAGAAACACACGCGTACAAAGAAACAAATATATCTCTCTCTCTTTCTCTCACTCTCTCTCTCTATCTCTCTCTCTCTCTCTTTTATATAATATGTTGATATATGTAAATGTGCGTATGTATATACATATATGCCGGGTCGCAGACTTCGGCCAAACATGTTGAAGGACCCGCAGTGTGCATGACCCCCTGGAAGTCAGCAAAAAAACATGCAGGAGTGGTAACATACAGACGGAAGCAGAAGCATACAGAGGATTATGAAGGGTTCAGAACCAGCAGCAGTGCCGAGCGCTATATGCGCGGGACAGAACAGCGCCATGCGCTCGTCCTGTAGCAGAGCAGTGCGTCGCGCTGAGCGAGGAAAGCGTGCGGGGTGGCATGGCGGGCCAAGGGCAGCTGAGGATGGGAGGCCACGACGACAAAAAAACAACGCCACGCGCTGCGTGGCGCAGCGGCGCCATGCGAGCTGCGATGCGACAGCGCCGAACGCTGCGTGACGGGACACCGCCGCGCGCTATGGGAACCCCTGCAGTGTTGGATGCGAATAATCGCCGTCAGTTGCATCTCTCGTAGCCGCCCGCGCCAATGAGGCGCCGGCAAGAACTACCGCGAACTCGCCTGACACCGCAGGCCAGAGTTTCCCTCAGTGGTGCAGGAACTGCTCCAAACCGAGCTCGCGCTTCGGCGTGGGCGCCAAACGTCTGGAGGCGCGTGGCCAACTCCGCTGGCGGCTCCCGGGGCAAAAACTCGAGGCCCTGGTCGCGCACGACGAGCAGGTTGTCCGATGTCGTCGCCCTCGAGAGCATGACCTACAGGTGGAACCAGAGGCCGCCCGTGTCGCCAGCATCGTTACGCCTGGCGTCGACAATCACGCCCCGGTGCATGGTCCGGCCATGGCGCGCCGTCGAAGTCAGCACCGCGGCGCGGGAGAGCCGCAGGCAGGTGCGCGTGACTTCGTGCTTGCGGAAATCGAAGGAGCTCGAAGTATGCAGCTCGATGGCGACAAACCGCGCCGCGTCCGAGACGTCGAACCCTTCCGCGTGCTCCGCCAGTTGTTTGCAGAAGGGTGCGTCCTTGTACTTCTCCATGCAGACCCACACGCCGAAGGGCAGGTAGCGCAGGTGCGCAAGGCCGCTTTTCTGGGGCGCTGATTTACTCTGCCCGTCCGAGCTTCATGCAGATGTTAGCAACGCGCCTATCTCATCCCCGCAGCTTCAGAATGCCAACCAGCGCAGGACCCAAACACTGGTTTCTAGCTTGTTGAGTGGTGCGATATATGTGGCGCAAGCAATTTGCTAACGTGCTACAGCAATGCGGTGCAATTCCAAGGACACCATGAACCATGCGCATTCGGCCGCCTGTAGAACAACGCCAGCCCACAAAATGCATAGGAGGATAGCTGTCAAAGGGCTCGATGGGAAACCTCGCTAGGGCGCGCGAGCGGCCCGCGGGCGGCTCGCAGGGCCTCGATGCAGCCCGCGGGGCGGAGATTATCCCTTCACGCACGACCCCACTATAAGGACGTTCTGCCACGCACCTTCATCATCCACGCATTGTGAAACTCTAAATAGCCCAAACACTGGTTTCTGGCGCGCAAGCTGCGTGGTGCAAGCAATGCTGCGCAACGCAATGAACGCCAGACAGGCGTGCTTCTTGGGCCGCTGGGCGGCCAACGAAACACATGGTATGATAGCGATAGAGGGCCCGATGGGCAACTTCGAAAGGCGGTAGCGACAGCATCCACCGAAGAGCAAGGGCACGCGAACCATACTCGCGGCCAAGAGTTGGAGTGATCACAGGGCCCGATGGGCAACCTCACGTCGGTGACTATGCGATCGGGGGCCTGAGAGCAATTCGCGGGGCCCGAGGGCGGCTCGCAGCACGCAAACTGCATAACCCTGTCCGATGAACAATGCGGACCCCGCCAGAGAAGCCTTTGGTGGAACTCCCTATGGGTTCCGAGCAATTCCAGCCGGCCGGACCAGCTAGGCGTTCACAGAGTGGGCGACAGGTGCACAGCTCGAAGCCACCCAAGGGGCCGCGAGGTCTCGGCTGGATGTGCGTACAACTCCACTCCGCTGGCCCTCCCAGGAGACGACGAAATTGGCGACAATGACGCAGTTCGCAGCCCCCGGGGGACCTGCGAGGTCTCGGCAGGGTGTGTTTGCAACTCCACACCGCTGGGCCTCCCAGGAGCCCACAAGAGCGGCGACGGTTGCGAAGTTCGCAGCCCCCCCGGGGGTCGCGGGGCCTTGGAGCACCCAACGAAAGTGGTGACAACTGCGCACTTCGCAGCCCCCCCAGAGAGCCGCGAGGTCTCGGTCTCGGCTGGGTGTGTTCACAACTCCACTCCTCTGGGCCTCCCAAGAGCCCATGAAAGGGGCGACGCTTGCGCAATTCGCAGCCCCCCAGAGGGTCGCGAGGTCTCGACTGGGTGCGTTGACAACACCACTGCGCTGGGCCTCCCAGGAGTCCACGACAGTGGCAACAATTGCCGAGTCGCAGCCTCCTCGAGAGCCGCGAGGTCTCGGTCTCGGCTGGGTGTGTTCACAACTCCACTCCTCTGGGCCTCCCAAGAGCCCATGAAAGGGGCGACGCTTGCGCAATTCGCAGCCCCCCAGAGGGTCGCGAGGTCTCGACTGGGTGCGTTGACAACACCACTGCGCTGGGCCTCCCAGGAGTCCACGACAGTGGCAACAATTGCCGAGTCGCAGCCTCCTCGAGAGCCGCGAGGTCTCGGTCTCGGCTGGGTGTGTTCACAACTCCACTCCTCTGGGCCTCCCAAGAGCCCATGAAAGGGGCGACGCTTGCGCAATTCGCAGCCCCCCAGAGGGTCGCGAGGTCTCGACTGGGTGCGTTGACAACACCACTGCGCTGGGCCTCCCAGGAGTCCACGACAGTGGCAACAATTGCCGAGTCGCAGCCTCCCAGAGAGCCGCGAGGTCTCGGCTGGGTGTCTTTACAACTCCACTCTCTTGGGCCTCCCAGGAGGAGCACGGTTGCACAATTTGAAGCCCCCCAGGGTGCCGCGATGTCTCGAATGGATGCGTTGACAGCACCACTCCGCTGGGCCTCCCAGGAGCCCACGAAAGGGGCTGCGCTTGCGCAATTCGCAGCTCCCCAGAGAGAGCCGAGAGGTCTCGGCTGGGTGCGCTGACAACTACACTCCGCTGGGCCTCCCGGGAGCCCACGACAGTGGCAACAGTTGCGCAATTCGCACCCCCCCGAGAGAGCCGCGAGGCCTCGGCTGGGTGTGTTTACAACTCCATATAGTCGGGGCCCTGACGAAGGAACCCTTTTCGTTCGGGAGGGGCTCCGTGCTCCTCAGTTGTTCTGCAGTGATCCTCGGGTTTTCCTGAGGCTTCCCATGGACAGTCGAAGTTCAACTTATGGGAGAAAGGGGCCCCGTTCCTTATTTTAAAAGGAAAAGAACTATGCACATGCACCGATTCTGGCCAGGCCCATCCTGAGCCCAGGATCGGTGCATACGCCCTCCTACCTTGGCCAGGAAGGCATATGCACCGATCCTGGGTCAAAAATGGGCCTTGCCAGGATCGGTGCATGTGCATAGTTCTCTTCACCCGATATTTAGGGTTCCTTAGGTCAACGCCAGCTGGGCCTCCCAGGAGCCCACGAGAGGGACGAAAGCTGCGCACGGCACTTCACCCCCGCTCCGCTGGACCTCCCCTCCTCCTCCTCCTCCTCCTCCTCCTCCTCCTCCTCCTCCTCCCCCTCCTCCTCCTCCTCCTCCTCCTCCTCCTCCTCCTCCTCCTCCTCCTCCTCCTCCTCCTCCTCCACGACAGCGGCGCACGCCGGACGTCCCCGGAGCCCACGAGCAGGGCAGAGGGGGCAGGAGAGAGGAGATGGGAGGCAGGAGAGAGCAGGAGGGGGAGGAGAAGGAGTGAAGGGGAACTGGGACACACAAATAAATACACACAAATAAAAATACCCCCCATATTTTCTCATATGTTCTAAGTTTTTGTCTTCCCTGATGAGATAATGTGTTGATTAGCAACAAGATCTCTTTTCATCTTGAGCCAAAATAGGTACACGGAGGAGGGTGTCAGAATCACTCCTCCTCGGGCCTGGCCGCCAACCCGGCCAGGCACGACATGCGTCGTACGCGGGCGCGTCCAAGCCGACACGCCCTTCTCAACGTCACACGCGGGCGCGTCCCAGCCGGCGCGCCCATCTCGTCACACGCGGGCGCGTCCAAGCCGACGCGCCCATTTCATCAGCCGGGCTGCGGCCATGCCGCGAGCCCCTCACTGCACCCGTCCGGTGCGATCCTACCGCCACCGGCGGAAACTCATCCAGCCCCACAGGTAGCGGAGCATGGATTCGATCCACTCCTTCACTTGATGTCCTTCTGGGTCGAACTCGGTGCCCGATCCCAGATGTTGAGCGTCGCCATATGTCTCCTCAAGAGAGATCCACCCACGCTCTTAGTCAGCACGTCCGCGACGTTGTTCTTACCAGGAACTGCGGCGATCGAAAGGTCGCCCTTGCCTACACGCTCCTGGATCCACAGGTATCGTGACTGAACATGTCGCATCTTC